CAGCTCCGACATCGCTTCAATTGGAATTGGTTTGCTGAGGAACGAAACATCGATCAATCCTGGAATCAAAGCAAAATTCACGCCATTACTACTATGTACAGTTTCTGTTGGCGTACCTAATCGATCACATTTTTTTTGTTCTGCAAATTAGCCATATGACTGTTCAGAAGATGGCCGGTAGGAGGCTGTACTGATGATTCCCGTTCCTACCCGCACACCACTGCTCGGTCTATTTTTACAGCTAAGGGATGAAACACAGACTTAATACATGGTAAAACGTCCTTCGGCACATTTCGACCCTTAAGACCAATCCTTCTATTCTACTATTTCAAGAGTCCATGGCTCGTTTCAAATAAATTTTTAACTTCGTCACGCTATATTGCTCTTACTTTTTATCAAGAATACTAAGACCGCCTGAGCTATCGGTATGGGGATCCCATGTTAGTGATGTTAATGGAATGCTCTCGTACGTCGGCTGCAGCTGCGCCAGGTCCTTCGATCCTGAATTGCGCATTTCTAGTAGGTTCCAGCCGCATAAGATATTAATTCCTCTACGGGCCCATGGTATTATCAATACTAATTTCCCTGTGAAATTCAAATCGAAAGACTGAGAACTTCGGCCGCCGCCACATTTTTTCAATGTTTTTCAATGTTTTTCGAAAAACGACCGTTTAAAAGCAAACAAAATACAGTACAGAACTGCTGCCTTGCCGTGGAACCAAACTAATAATTTAGAATTGAGGCTCTTCGATCAGAATGGAACAGATATCTGTAAAAAAACAGTACAAAGCTGTCCATCGAACATAGTTGTATACCTTTGGTAACTGCTTGACGTAGTTGCCCAACAATTTGCTGTGTAGGCGCTGGCATTACTCCGGCATTTATGGAATCCGGTGTCTGCGTCCAACTAAGCTCAAGCGCTGAGCGCTGTTGATCCGAAATCAAATCCCAAATTGTCGGAATGGTTGTTGATGTTTTCGTTGATCCTAACGATGCACGATTATCCCATCCTGAACATATCCATTACAGAAAATTATAATGAAAAATGAAAATTTGACGCTATTCCAAAACAGTTAAGCAGAAACTGAAAACCGAAGTTGCTGCAAAAGGAACAAGATGTTAACAGCAAGGAAACGAAGCTGCAGCTAAATCCATTCGCCTTGCCCGGTTGGCCTTCGATTCCATGTGATATGCAAATGTCCCGTCTCCTGACTCGAGTCTCCCCCTCCGTGATATGTAATGTTGTGATTAGAAATGAAGTAGTGATTGTTTGCGCGCCACAAAAATTGAAGTTACTGCCGCTCCTCTTCTCTCGCCCCCTGTATATACTGTTCCAACTTGGAGCTGCTGCCGGTTCGTCAGCGGTTCTGGGATGGTTTTGGTTTCTGTTGGTATGTTTCTGTTTTCTTTCTAATAAAGCTTCATTTATTAGTTTGGGCGAGTGCCCCCCCCCCCTTCCACTCGCAGCTGCACCCTCTCCGTCTGTCCTCCTATCGTTACAAAGTGCTTGAAGTGAAAATCAGGATTATCACCAGGCCAATTAACTACTACCAGACGATGCAACATTGGTCAGAGCAACTGGAAAAGTTGCTAGCCACACACAGACGAAATTCCGACGCAGCACAGATCTGAAGTAATCCAAATATCCAGATATACACAGCATAAATTCAGGGGCTATTCAAGTAAAAATAATTGGCCAACGCACGGGCTGATCTGCGCAGATGCATTTTTTGCACAGCTTCCCGCAGATTTTTATCGCTAACGGTTCTGTTTTTTTCCGGCAGGTTCTTCTAGCTAAAAGAATTTCAGACTGACCGCCAGCATTGCCAGGAAACATCCCTTCGAAATTCCAGTCTTCTAGCTTCTCAGGTTCCGAATCAACAACCTACACGAAAAAAATTTTAGCGGGCCTGTACTTGGGTACCACGCATACCCGTGGGCTGGTTATGAGCTCAGTAAAACCTAGATAGGCGGGGAATATTCACCCAAAATTATAATCTTCTAGCTTTTAAAATTCTTGAGTTAGCGACTTACCCGAGAAAAACTTTGGCTGGCCTGTACGCGGGTACCACTATACCCGGAGGCTGGGTTTGAGCTCCTTAATAGGTACGTGGACGGGGAACGTCTCGGTAAAAGTTTTAGCTCCCCAGCGTTTCTGATTCGCGAGTTAGCAGCTTACCCATAAAAAATTTTGGCGGGCTGGTACGTAGGTACCATTTGGGTAAGGGCGCCCATTTTGGGGACTGGGCCCGTACGTGCATGTAAATTAAGTTCCCAAAGTTTCAGCCCCGTAGCTTTCATAGGTCTTGAGATGAAAAATCGATAGAGACGCATGCACAGACATACAAACACATAGACGCGCAGACACAGAGACACATGGACACACAGACAACCTGTCGTCAATATGTGTTTTCTGCATTGCATAGCTGCAAAAAACGCATAACAATTTGTTATTTGTTCTGAAAGCTGTTGATGGTTCCATTTTGTCCAAAGTGCTTGGGAAACAAGATGATGTCACTAGGGCACCTCTGCTATGTTAAGCATTCCATTACAGCAATTCTCATCATCAACAAAATGAATCAATGCAGATGTGCAGGAAAAGGCTGAAATTTCCCAATAGGCAAATTCGAAATAACAATTTCTTTCAACCCCAGAAAAGATGGAGTTTGCTAGCCCTCTAAAATATAGATGAACAAAATTTTTTTTCAATTTGCATCCGTAACATCAATTACATCATCTATATCCTTTTCATCTCAATTAATTCTTACTCTTAATTATATTGTTACCACAGTCGTCGTACTGACCAGGTCCAACTGTGGTAACGGTAAGAAATGTATACGACTTAATGGACCGAAACATTTCTTACCTAATTTAATACTTCTTTTTCACATCATCTTTTCTTTAATCCTTTCTTATATTTTTCCATGATCATTCATACATTTTTCTTTTAACCTTAAAAAGGCGAAAATAGAAAACAGACCAGAAGTGGTTGGAGTGACCGGTGATGAACGTGATGTTTTGGTGGGCCATGACGGTCCTGCATTTGCTGAGACGTTACTCGACAATTTCGCCGGAAGTTCACCCCAACCTGTCGCTGTGATTACTCGACCTCCTAAAAAAAAAACTCGTTTTTTTTCAGTAAAAATTAATCCATCACAAAAATTTCTTTGTTTCCTCTCACATTCACACCTGTGCTCAGAAAAGTAATGATAAGTAACGGCCATTAGAAAGACGAATCATAAGTGGACGGTCCAAGTGGAAGGGTCCAAGTGGGTTAAAGTGATAAATAATTTGCGGTTTTTGGTAGGCCGAACCGTAATTTCTAAAGTAAACAGCCAGTCCGAATAGTGGAAAATATGGAACAACCGTAATTTCCACTAATCGTTCGTTACACTTCGCCTCTTTTTCAACCTTTACCTTCCTCCAAATTTGCACCTGAACATAGCTTACGACGTCTGTGTACTACGTCTATGAGGCGCCAGAATCCACGGAAATTCCACAAAAAGCACTACAGCCATCCACTATAGTCTAGCTGAAAACTTTCCATAACTTTTTTCATAAAAACGTATTATCACGAGCTCCTATGTTTCCACGTATAAGTGTGTGTGTGTGTGTGTGTGTCTGAGTGTGTGCACATTTTTGCCTGTCTGCATCTACATGATTCAGGCGGACAAACAACAAAAAAAAATTAAAAGTCTAAAATTTTACCGGCCATCTGCAAATTATCAAAATTCAATTTTTGCGTATTCAAAATAATGCCAATTTTAGTTTTTTGCCTTTCCCGAGCACTAACGGAGCACTGAAAAGGTAGCTTTTCCTAACAATTATAGGACTTGAAAAGCCATAAAAATTACCACCTTCACCTTCTGCTGTTTCAAATTCTTTCCCAGCTGGTACCAACCATCGTTTAATTTCTTCTGAAAAAAATCCTTTTTCATTTTTTCTTAATTAATCACATTTTTTTTTATAAAGATTTACTACGATTTCTACCAAAATAATGATGGTTTCTGAGATTTAAAAAAAGGACAGACTTGACTGTTTCTCA